GTTAGCTTTATAAGAAAAATGGAAATAGAAACTTAAGGCAATACTTAATTTCATGAGTGGTGGAAGAAAAAATATATACAGTCTTTGAATAAAATGTTTAAGTCATTATTACTCATCACTCCATTTTCCCTTGGAAAAAAATCCATACCAATTATAACCAATACTAGGATAGTTTTTATGCAATCAGGAAAAAAGAATCTTCTAAACAACAAGTTGAATCATGTGGTCAAGTAGTAACACAAGTTAGTGACTGAGTTTTTACTTACTTCAAAATTCCCAACTTCATTTCTGAGATAATAACTTCCTAGTCAGTTCTTTGTTACCTTCTTCTCAGTAAAGGAAAAGGGTGTTGCATTATTATCTCTCTAACAACAGTAGCATTTTATGTCCTTTGAGTACACATTTACTGAGCAAAGACGTGAGAGAGAGATCTGGTACTTGAGTGGCCATTCAGTGTCAAGGGTGGGACTGATAAATGCAATAAACCCTATACAAATAGAGCTCTGCACAAGTTGCTACCAGAGTTGAAAGGTTAGTTCACCTCATAAAGCTGAGGAAGTCAAGGTGGTTTTCACAGAAGAAATTTTGTTTGAGTTGGATTTTACAGAATGACTTCATAAGGCCAGAAAAAGAGAACATGTTGAGGATATAAGAAACAGCCAGATAGAGACATGGAAGCATGAACGAGGACAGTATGATCAATAAATGGCAGGCAAATCAAAAACCAAACTCACTGCCATGGAGTCGACTCATCTCATAGTGACCCCTCCTTAGGTTTCTGAGGTGGTGTCCCTACAGAAGTAGATTGCCCAACCTTCCTTCTGAGGAGTAGCTGGTGGGTTTGAACTGCCAGCCTTCTGGTTAGCAGTCAAATGCCTTAGGCACTATGCCACTAGAGCTCCTAAATGGCAGGTAGATGCATCTTTTACTTTTTGTTAGAACATAAGTTTTATGGAAGAAAATGAGGATGGTAAAGCATATTATTCCAGCTAATATTCCAAGTTCAGTAAGATCTATTTTATCTTAAAAATTTTAATGAACCCCCAAATGACAGTAGTTTTACTTTAACTCTCTATTAATTGAGAAAATACCTAATTATAAATAGGTTACAAGGAACTGAGTAACATTTTTAAGTGATTTAGTCAATTAGTTACAATAGCAACTCTATGTATTTTCTATGTCTGTTGGATAGATTATTTATTCCATTTATAGCCCCCACTGACTGGGTATACAGTTTCTCTATTCTTGAAATGATAGGCCACAGGTTGAGAAGCACAAGTCAAGGCCATCCTATATGTGGTGATGTATTCATTTCCTAAGATTTCTTACAACAATACCACACCTTAAGTAGTTTAAAAGAATAGAAATGTTTGTCTTATACTTCTGGAGTCCAAATTCAGGGTATTGGACATGTAATTTTTTCTGAGAGCTGTAAGAAAGAATCTGTTCTGTGCCTCTCTTATCTTCTGGTGATGGCCAGCAATCCTTGGTATCCTCTGGCTTATAGATGCATCTTAACATGGTCCTCATCACTCTGTCTCTGTTTATCTGTTCTCTTTTATAAGGACACCAAACCAAAATTTTATC